CGTAGCATTATCAAGAACATGATGCCGTGTATTTGGATTCGTGAAAACTTCCAGATACAAACTTTAGTTGAGGCGTTGCTAAAAAAAAACGTTCACAATGTTTTTTTTCTCCCAACTAATTGCAAATTGTTGTTTTTCGTTTATAGGTATAAACATAAGTTCAACAAAATGTGTCAAATGTCAGCTTTCTAGGCATTCTGCAACATTGTGAGACTTTACATCACCAACTGAGTCCCTCATTCAGTCACAGGAAGCTACATATATATTGAATATTTCATAATTCCTGGGAAACCAGGATTGAATTCAGTAATCCTGGGCCTTGTCAGAGTAACATTCATCTTGATAGTGATTCCCCGTATGCATTGCACTTATGCAACTAATACAAAGACACTTGTGTCCTTGATCAGTTTGTGAAATGTTATTGTTTATATTCACAAGTCACAACTTGCAAAAGTAAACCATATATAAATTTCCCAGGTTGATGCAGCAATTGTATGTCTTCCCATAGAGAGACTGGCTTCTGTCTAGAGAGACTATGGAATTTCCAGCAGGCTCAGGGCCATCACTGGAAATGAGCACAAGTCCATTGCTCATTTGAGCGGAGACGAACTGACTTGTACTGCTATGTTCAATTCACACAGCCGAATCCTACTTGCTTGGACATCTTAAATAAACTACACTTGCTTGGACATTTCACATGTTTCGCATGTGACTTAATGGCACAGAAAAACATAACCTGTATTGCTACAACATTGACAATTAAAGATAACATTTGTACCATTGTATGTATGCATTTTGAACTTCTTTCGCACCATACGTAGCCAACTTCTGTTACTCAGCCAGTTCCCAAAATGACTTTTGACGTCACACTGCGATACGTTTTCTACCGTTCACAAGTCTTCTTCATTCAAATGTAAAATAAGCTGTTAAACATTGCAACCTTCTGGTTACTGTTGGAGCAGGAGGGTATTGAGGGTTGGAGCACTTTGAGAATTTATGGAAGTGGCTGTTGTAGGCCTAACATATGCGGATGTTTGGATTTAAAGCCCTCCAGTCACCTGTACAATTCACACTAATGCCCATTGGTGTGCCCCTACGTGCCTACGTGCATAACCACAGCATGTAAGAGTAGGCATTCCGGATTTAGCAAATAACTTTTAGTCACTGCACTCTGGGACTCGCCGACTGTGGTGTGTCTCGTGTGGGGAGCGGTGGCGTCGCGGATAGCACGCTGCGCTACGAACCCGGCGATTCGGGTTTGATTCCCGCTCACAGTCAACACTGGTGACGATTGTTGACTTGGTCCTGGGCCTCCCGTAGGTCGACTCGGGCCACAAATGGGTACCTTGTGCGGTGTGTAAATGTCGCCACTGAGGAGACAAAGGTGATCGGATGTGGTCCTGGCCATCCACCCCCTCGTGTGCCGGCCTGACCTTCCCCCGCACCTCCGATTTGCACGGTTGGCTACGTGGAGTGCGAGAGAAGTTCAACATACGTGCTCGCTTAACAGCACTTGCCCCGACACCCTTTTTAAGGCTATACGGGGGATCTTTGTCCTTGGTGTGTCTCATGGAGGAGAGCCGCCTTCGGTGCACTGCCTGTACAGATCCTGGCGATTGGCTCGACGTGCTTGTGGTTGCCCTGCACAAAGGAATCTGTAGGTTTGTTGGGCGTGCCTCTCAGGAGGGACGCCTCGCATTCAGGGTAGCACCCGAGGGCTGCTGGATCTTGAGACGGACTGGAACACGGCTGGCTTGCCGCTTGTCAGAGGGGAGCACTTTGTAGTAAATTATTCTACGTGCTTGAATGTTCTAAAGGCATTTTTTTTTCAACACAGTATTCATTATATACGAGTCGGTTGTGTGTTTAAAAAAAAAAATGGCAAATTGCAATAAGTGTAGCCCTGCCAGGTGTTGTTATGTGTAATTTTCCAGATTGAAAATAAGGATGTTTGGGTTACAATTCTAGTCAGTGGTTGTTAGTCTATCATTTTTTCAGGGTCTGTAAAATACAGTGAGGGAAAAAAGTATTTGATCCCCTGGTGATTTTGTACGTTTGCCCACTGACAAAGAAATGATCAGTCTATAATGTTAATGGTAGGTTTATTTGAACAGTGAGAGACAGAATAACAACAAAAAAATCCAGAAAAACGCATGTCAAAAATGTTATAAATTGATTTGCATTTTAATGAGGGAAATAAGTATTTGACACCCTCTCAATCAGAAAGATTTCTGGCTCCCAGGTGTCTTTTATACAGGTAACGAGCTGAGATTAGGAGCACACTCTTAAAGGGAGTGCTCCTAATCTCAGCTTGTTACCTATATAAAAGGCACCTGTCCACAGAAGCAATCAATCAATCAGATTCCAAACTCTCCATCATGGCCAAGACCAAAGAGCTGTCCAAGGATGTTGGGGACAAGATTGTAGACCTACACAAGGCTGGAATGGGCTACAAGACCATTGCCAAGCAGCTTGGTGAGAAGGTTGACAACAGTTGGTGCGATTATTCGCAAATGGAAGAAACACAAAAGAACTGTCAATATCCCTCAGCCTGGGGCTCCATGCAAGATCTCACCTCGTGGAGTTGCAATGATCATGAGAACGGTGAGGAATCAGCCCAGAACTACACGGGAGGATCTTGTCAATGATCACAAGGCAGCTGGGACCATAGTCACCAAGAAAACAATTGGTAACACACTACGCCGTGAAGGACTAAATTCCTGCAGCGCCCGCAAGGTCCCCCTGCTCAAGAAAGCACATATAAATGCCCGTCTGAAGTTTGCCAATGATATCTGAATGATTCAGAGGACAACTGGGTAAAAGTGTTGTGGTCAGATGAGACCAAAATGGAGCTCTTTGGCATCAACTCAACTGGCCGTGTTTGGAGGAGGAATGCTGCCTATGACCCCAAGAACACCATCCCCACCGTCAAACATGGAGGTGGAAACATTATGCCTTGGGGGTGTTTTTCTGCAAAGGGGACAGGACAACTTCACCGCATCAAACGGACGATGGATGGGGCCATGTACCATCAAATCTTGGGTGAGAACCTCCTTCCCTCAGCCATAGGTATTCCAGCATGACAATGACCCAAAACACACGGCCAAGGCAACAAAGGAGTGGCTCAAGAAGAAGCACATTAAGGTCCTGGAGTGGCCTAGCCAGTCTCCAGACCTTAATCCCATAGACAATCTGTGGAGGGAGCTGAAGGTTCGAGTTGCCAAACGTCAGCCTCGAAACCTTAATGACTTGGAGAAGATCTGCAAAGAGGAGTGGGACAAAATCCCTCCTGAGATGTGTGCAAACCTGGTGGCCAACTACAATAAACGTCTGACCTCTGTGATTGCCAACAAGGGTTTTGCCACCAAGTACTGAGTCATGTTTTGCAGAGGGGTCAAATACTTATTTCCCTCATTAAAATGCAAATAAATGTATAACCTTTTTGACATGCGTTTTTCTGGATTTTTGCTGTTGTTCTGTCTCTCACCGTTGAAATAAACCTATCATTACAATTATAGACTGATCATTTCTTTGTCAGTGGGCAAACGTACAAAATCAGCAGGGGATCAAATACTTTTTTCCCCTCACTGTACATACTACTTTGTTAAACGGGTTTTCCCCTTTCTGGCAATAAAACAGGTGTTAAGATGTTAAAACACCAAACTGAAACCTTTGCAATGAACCATGTCTGCATTAACCACATACTTGTGGTGAACATGCAGAAAGGGGGAAAACCCTATTAACATAATTGAATACTGGCAAAGGAGGTCTCATGATACATACTACATTGTGGAAGGTTAACATTGATGATCCTATGAAGTGTCTGGCCTTTGCTCCTCCAAATGAGTGCCGATCCATTGCTGGTTTAAGAGGAAAGACTTTGACTTGGTGTTTTGTATGTTAGATAAGTGCGAGTGGTAATCCCTTATAGAAACGGGTTTTCTCCAAGTACCCTGGTTTTCTCTCACCAATGGTGATGGACAATAGACATGAAGATAGCGAATAAGATGCAGGTGATGCTGATGATGACACTCCTGTTGATGCTGCTATCTGTCTATGTGAATGTGCACACATGGTGTACATGTACACACATGATGTATGACAAGTAACCAGTAGTAGGATTTGCCTTTCAGTAGGATTTTGCAGAAATTACATTAGTCGCTCAGGCACGACCCATCTCCATTAGATGTTCTGTACTGTATACGCATGTGTGTGTGTGTGTTTGCAGGTATAATGTATATTACACATGCAATATTGTCTACTTGGCCTCAAATGAGTACCTGTTGCGGTGTGTAAACATCACCACTGGGGAGACAAAGCCGGCCAGGCGCGGTGCTGGCCACTTGGCCCTCGTGTGCCGTGCCGGCCTTCATAGGTGCTCGCTAGCACCACTTGCCCCAACAATCTGTTAGTCGACATAAAAGTGCGTGTGTAAATTTGAACACCTGACATCTGGGTCTGCCACATGACCTCCTGCCAGCAAGCCACTGCCACAGTGGCAAGGAGGATGTGGCAAGACCTCACCGGATACATCGCCACGCCCACTCGCCCAACACTCGTGTGGGCCACCACGCTCAGGACGCACCTGGCCACACTCGCTCCACCTTTCAGGGCAGGATGCTGCCCCAGTGGCGGATGTAGCCGCTGTTGGATTGTAAATGGTGGGTGGGACTGGACCAAATAAGCTGCGAATCTGCCACCGAAGGGCACGAAAACGCTGCCGTAGAAAACGCGCCAGTGAATTGTGGCCCAAATCTCCATCGATGGTTGAGTTGGCACATCATCTCTCCAAGTTTAAACGCAGCTGTCGCCACCTTTGTACGAAATTAATACTTGTCTTCGGGAGGGACCGTAGAAATGTGAAATTCAAACAACTGGCTCACGGCCACCTGTGGAAGATGAGCATCGCCCCAACGCAGTGGAAATAAAACTTTGATTGATTGAAACGCTCCTGTTTTAACTTGGACCATTCTGAATGCTCCTGTTGTGCCCTTCCGCAGTCCAATGGATCGGGGCAGCGCGTGACGCTCGACGCCAACCTGTGGGATAAGTTCAGCGAGCTGTCCACCAAGTGCATCGTGAAGACGGTGGAGTTCGCCAAGCGCATTCCGGGCTTCTCCACCCTGGGCATCGACGACCAGATCACTTTGCTCAAGGCAGCCTGCCTCGACATCTTGGTGAGCAGTGGCATTGACAAAGCTCTCGTCTTTCACTGATAACTCGTCGTGTAATAGAGCAAGGAAGCGGTGATGGTAACACCGCTACACAAATCGAGTTATCGTTTGGCGCCCAAATCTCACACGGCACATTTGGTGGAAATGTGATTAGGCTCGGTTTATTCAATCCTCCTATTGGGTATAAATCAACAGTGGCTGTGCACTGAAGAGACTGAGTAAGCCTGGTAATGTTGCATTTCCATCACTGGCCCAAGGTAACCGGCACCCATTCAATTGAGCAGGGGGAGGTGCTTGACACTGACACTGACTTGAAGTTGGAGTTTGTTTTTAACATTTTTCTGCTTTTTGCCAAAAACTGATGACGTGTGTCATCTGTTTTTATTCCAATAAAGTAATTTTGTTTTTAGTTTTTCTTCCGATTCTGTTCTGATGAAGTACACGTATGTCACGCGGGACGGCGTAGCAGTCATAGAGTGCGGTCGTGTAGCTCCAGTTCTCTGCGGTGAATACAATGTCTTTAAAAACAACGGTGAGCCGCTTACGCGTTCCGAGAATCAGCGGTGAATGGGACCCGCCCTGCAGCTTTCAGACGTCTCAGAACGGAAAAGGGTTATAGTGCTTTTTTTTTTTGCATTGCTTGAACGCTTAGTGAAGGTGGCACATGTTCACCCTCATTGGAAGCAGACGTTTAGGTGCTTTTTTTTTATTTCCCCGCTCTCTTTTGTGCGGAGAAACGGCAGCAATGTTACCGGAGGGGTACGCTAATGTAGGATTTTAAATAGATCTGTACTATCCTAGCACTCGCTTGCGAAGAATCGTAAACACGGGACGTGCTGAGCCTCTTGTCAGACTACTGCCAGAGCCAGCGTTGTCACACACACGTGTGACCTTCACACTCCCTTGTTTATAATAACGTTTAGCCAGCGCCAAGCAAGACGGATGCATCGTGGAATAAACAATATAAATAGTCTGTCGGAGATCGATTTAGCATAGGGAATTAATTAAAAGTAAGAATGGCAAGGGCAGGCAGCTGCTGGGTGGCGGCAGCAGTCCGCGCTGTAAGGGGAAGGGTCGCGCATACCACTCGGTGGGTAGCAGACAGCGGTTATTGTTTCCTGATAGCCGGCCCCCGACTTGGGAATGTGGAATTTCCACGAATGGCTCGGGGACTGGCAACGGAGATGAACTTTCACTCGTTTGAGCGAAAGTTTGGCTAATAGGATAAAATGTAGCACAAGGACAATGGAAGCTGTGTGCAGATACCTTCGGGTGCACAGATGATAGGAAGCACAGATGATCGGGACTTGGGTAGAGAGATGTACGATTAAGATCTAATTTTTCTACCCAGCGATCGATTAATAAAATGTGGCCCGCATCCAACCAGTTTAGAATTAGATTAGCGTATTAACGTAATTTGCTCCTAAGCTGTGTGACCTATAATGAGGAGGGATAATGCATTTGTGAACACATGGGGAGGGGTGGCATCTATGGGTACATCACATGAATATCATAAACCCCGGCTCAACGATTGGCAATTTTGTGGACATATTCAACGCTTAATATTTTGATCCCCTACGTTCTTGCAAAATTTTATTGGCAGGTTAACATTTGCATTTACAGCACTTTTAACAGTTAAAGTAAAATAATGTTGAAATAAAATGATTTTTTTTAATCAATGCATCATTTTAAAGCATTCATGCCATAGGATGCATACATTCACTGCGTTATTCACGTGAATTAAATCTGGTTTGCTTCCACTAAATAAATATTTATTGTGCGTATCAAAGCTGCTTGGCAGGTGTGTATATCCAGTGATCCCTGTATTTCTGAGATCACACGATACACAGCCTCCCCAGATGCACAGTGCTACGGGAGTGTCTGTGAATCGTACACTGGAAGGGCAGCACTTGATGAATCGTGTTCATATCTGCTTTCATCAGTGACTTGCCCTGTCCTCGCACGCCTTGCAGTTCCTGGGTAATATTTTCCGAACGTGTTTCACACTTGCGCAAACGTAATTGCATGTACACATTCCACACTGTACCAGTGAAATAATACTGGGCTGTGTTGAGCCGGCCGTGTTATGAAGGGTACTTTAAAAAAAAATTAATCGCAAAATACTGGAGGTTTCATGAGGAACATATCACAAATGTATTTTGGTCTTTTAAAAGGATCGTAAGCTAATTTTGTTTATTTATTATGGTCACCGTCTTTAATATATTGTAATTTCAGCTCGGATATAGCACTCACTCTACTGTACTGTGGGGGCTTTGAATGATCTGTTATGTATTAGCTGCTGATGTTCTCAGATTAACCTAAGCCTTTGTCCAAGATCTTTTCAACCTATTTCATGAGGTTTCGGTATACTTTTAGAATAAAAAAAATGGAATGATAAAAAAAACTGCAATGTACAACTGACATGCTGAAAACAATATATTTATTGTACTCCAAAAATATGGGATCATCAGTTGCTGCCTCCAGTAATCCGATGACAGCGAATGCATTACTCTTGATCACTGTTGACATGCATCAATAAACACCAAGGGGACTATTCGCCGACATCCTTATTTTATTAATGAACAGAAGCAATGGTGTTGAGGGAGAGTGGGGGCATTCTTATTCCTTGGGCAAAGAGTGCCACCTACAGTTAGATTTACGGAACTGTCACTTTTGTAAGTGCACACACAAGTTCACTCCATATATCCTATTAACAGACTGTTGGGGCAAGCGCTGTTAGCGAGCACCTATTAAGGCCGGCACGGCACACGAGGCGGTGGGTGGCCAACACCACGCCCGGCCACCTTTGTCTCCCTAGTGGCGACGTTTACACATTGCACGAGGTACTCATGCAAGGCTGAGTCGACCTAGGGGAGACCCATGACCGGTTCAGATAATCACCACTGGTGTTGGTGGCCGTGAGCGGGAATCGAACTCCGGGTCTATGCCGGGTTCGTAGTAGTGCAGCGCGCTAACCGCTATACCAACGCTCCCTCCACACCGCTAGAGTACGTATTGTTGGGTCCATCATTGAAGACTTAGGGCAGACATGTTGCTGTCGAGGGCCAGGGGAGAACCTGGGTTTGTGGGGAAGCCTTGCGCTGCGGGCAAATGGAGGGGAGCTTCTGGGGAGGGAGCCGTCAAACACGTGCAGTGCAGGGTGCCCAGATGCAACGTGGTGACCACAGGCTGGGTGGGATGACTCGCTGCTATTTGAGCCCTGCTTCCATGTTGAGATGATCGGCTCTTGCTTGGCTTCCCTCACTCGATTGGGTTGCCTGGGTGTCTTCCAATGTATTCCCAAACTAACTCGGTTTCTTTATCTTTGATGGAGGGATCCTTCAAACAATATTGCTGTTCCTTTTGCAACACTACGTGGCAGGGAAAGGTGGCACTCCACTTATCACACAGCACCAGTGGCAGTGGAACTGGGGACCATGATTAGTTCCCTTGGGGGCAAATTGTACATATTCTTAAATATATAAAACCTTCCACGAGATTCTTGGTTATAAAGCAACAACGGTAACTGAATTTCCCTCGGCCTTTTCATTGCGTTCAGTGGAGGCTGAGCCTCTACAGTGCCAGGAAACTTGAGCCTGCTTATAGCGTGAGGTTTTTCATTTCTCTCTCAAAAATATCACCGAATGGTAACCGCATGGTGCCGGTGCTCAGTTGCCTAGCATGAGTGGCTCAGCCAAGCACCAGGTAGGCACACGATCAGGCAGAGCGGCCTTATTGCAAAGCCATGGGTGGGGAAAAAAAACATCTAGAGGGCACCCCCCCCCCCTCCAGATTTTAACCGACTGTTAAACCGTTTATAATTCTACAACGGAGGCACATTATCACAAGCTGCTTTTGGGTATTCATGGTCCAGGGTCTCCGCTTAACTCTTGTATTTTTGAGTATTGATAAAAAAAAAATCGAGGTGAAAGTGTGTGCGTGTCCTGCTCGTGCGAGGATGAGACGGCGCTTTGTATCAGTTGGCTACACTGAGCAAGTGGTGGAAATTCCCCGTCACTATGGTGGGGGCCAGTCTAAGCAGAGGGAAACTATTAATCAACGTAGAGCAAACACCTCTTGTCAGCAAATGTAATCTTGGGCTCTGAATCAAGCTACAGAGACTCCTTATGTATGCAGATTTATTCTTCTTATTATCCACCTTTTTCACGGATGAGCAGGTGTCACTCGCGAGTGATCGTGGTGGGGAACTAAATTCAACCTATTAACATGTTTTTTGCATATAACCTAACTGCCGCCCCTCCCCCCCCCCCCCCATATCAAAAAAGATGAGGCATTTTATTGTATTACATGAATGTACTTTTAAAAATACCAAATAAAAATTTGATATTTTACTATATTCTGAATCCGCCATTACATTATTTTCTTAATTCATTTACTTTTGGAAAACCCACCCGCACTTCCCGATTTTAGCACGCGGTTGGCTACGCATGGTGCGAGAGAAGTTCAACGTGTATGTGTGTGTGTACGATGTATGAATGTTGAACTTGTTTCGCTCCGTACGTAGCCAACCCGAGCGCTAATCGGAGACGCGATCGGCACGTGCAAAGGTGCGTCACTGTGGCTCTCGACGCTGCCTTGCCGCCGCGGCGGCGGCGCCTATTCTCTAATCCCGCGGTCGCTCTGCTGTGTCCCCCCCCCCCCCTCCCCACCAGATCCTGCGGATCTGCACTCGCTACACGCCCGAGCACGACACGATGACGTTCTCGGACGGGCTGACACTCAACCGCACGCAGATGCACAACGCGGGCTTTGGGCCGCTCACCGACCTGGTGTTCGCGTTCGCCGCTCAGCTGCTGCCCCTCGAGATGGACGACACAGAGGCCGGCCTGCTCTCTTCCATCTGCCTCATCACAGGCGGTGCGTTGCCTGCCGAGTGGAAGCTTGGGCCGGGCGCGTGGCCACGTGCACTGCCACCTCCATCGTCTCGCCCTCTTGTCTGTCTGCCCGTCCTCCCTCTTCTGGTGTCTCTCTACGTGTAATCGTGTAACAAAGCTCCTGTTTTTTTAATCCCAGCTTATTGGTAATTTGAAAAGGTTGTCGGTCAGGTAATCGGATGAAGTTACTTTGAACATATGAACAATATGATATTGTATATTGCAGTACCGCTACAATGTGAATCACTATTGCCGCACCTATGATTAGCACGGTTGGCTACGTACGACACGGAGATACATTTAACATGCACATGTGCAAGTGTAATCTTGTCACTTCTGCAATACCAGGCATGGATAGGATCACAATAGGGTCATTTGCACTTTCAGTGCTTAAATTCGTATGTTACACGGTGTGTAAACATCAACACACCACACCTCCACGTGCCATTCCAGCCACTGGAAATTACATCAAATGAAACGGTGCCCAATGACGTCGAGCAAGTGTTCTTCATGGCGAGGCCCGCAGGGCCACTGGCGGCGGCAGCCCCTGGTGGCCTTTAGTGCGGCCCCTGATGTGCAGCCCTCAACAATACACAAATAGTGAAAAGACCCCCCCCACATCACTGTGCTGTCAAACCCCCAATTGTTTCAAACATGTGGCGGCCCTCGCACCGATGATGTCTTATCGGCGAAAGTGCCCCCCCCCCCCTCCCCCACTACTGACGCAGAGGCTAACTGGATAACCTTTGCCTTCATTTGTACGCAGACCGGCCCGAGCTGGAGCACCCGGAGCGAGTCGACCGGCTCCAGGAGCCTCTGCTGGAGGCGCTCAAGTTCTACGTGCGCAAGCGGCGGCCCACCAAGCCCCACATGTTCCCCAAGATCCTCATGAAGATCACCGACCTCCGTGGCATCAGCTCCAAGGGTGCGTCCGTCGTGTTTTCGAGACCGGCATCCGTGGGCAATAGGGATGTGTGATGCCTTTCGATTTAAAGCTTTCGTGGCTGCAAGGATTCATCTTCTTTGGTTCTTTCGGTAAAGGCACGTAGAATGAGAATAAAACAATACAATAAAACAATAAAATTCTCGCGACGTTTCGGCCACAACACAAGTAGCCTTCTTCAGCGTTCATTGAAGCTCTGTCGTCCCGACAGTTTTGTTCCTTCACCTGAAGAAGGCTACTCGTGTTGTGGCCGAAACGTCGTGAGAATTTAATTGTTTTATTTTATTATTTTATTCTCATTCTACGTGACTTTACCGAAAGAACCAAAGAAGATGTGATGCCTTGTATAAGCGAGGCCAACCTTGTATAAGCCAGGCCAACCTTGTATAAGCCAGGCCAACCGCGGAAACGAGATATACCGTGGCACCTGGCATACAGGAGGTCTTGGGTTAGATCCCGACTCTGATGCCTGTTGTATATTTGGAGTTTGAATTTCTCTGTCCCCGTGGTCACGTGGATTTTTTCTGGATCTTCCGGTTTAACCCCTCCACATTTAGAAACATGTGCTTAAGAGTATTTGGCTGTTATAAATTTCCAAGTGATAGGCCACTTTCATTGGGCTATCGTTTGTGGCCAGGTCGCTTCTGAAAGAGAGCTGCTATATAGCTCAGTGGGCCTCACCTGGTCAAATAAAATATATACACAACTTGATCTGAGGTTGTCAGCAGCACCAATGGAAACACGTGGCGCCAGTTTTCCGACCACTTCTTGGCTTTACAAATGCACCAAATGACGAGTCTGAACGCGTCTACATGCCCTCATCTTCGTTCATAGCCCTCGGCCAAATTATGAAGCTGCCATGGGCGGGGAGACGAGGCCTTTCCACGGGACAACCACTGTTGATTTCCCCCCAAAAAAGAGGAACTCATTGTATAAGCCCGAGAGGGATGATGGGCTAAGTAAAATCCTGACCTGAGTGGGAATTCGCAGTTGAACTTGAATTGCTTTTGGGAGTTGAGCACACAAGTGAATATGGTTGAATTGCTTCATTGGAAGCTTGCAATAGCGTGTCCTTCAATGTCACCTTCTGTATCTTGATTACACGTTGGAATTCAAGATAAGCACACGCACAGTTAAATTTGAAATTGTGCTTTCATAGCAATCCAGAGCGTCGTTTGCGCATATGTTCGCGAAATATCAAGTCCCACGGTGGTTAAAAAGAAAAACGCCACTTGGAGAGTATGATAAATGTAAGCATTTTTATTGACCTTATTTATGCGTGGGACTAAATTTGACATGGTCAGTGCTTTGCATGTGATGTCGTATCGCATCGCATGCCAGCAATGTAGAATATGGGGGGGTGGAGGGGGAATTAATTCCTCCCGAAACATACCAGCCTTCGCCAACTTTATTTCAAAGGAGCGGACAGATTGAATGCGTCCAAATTGGGGAGACGAATGTGATGAGCCCCGATGCAATGGAGACTTACACGTGCAGTCATGTTTTTGTAAAACCCATGACCTTAATGTCTAAAGTAATCCAAGTCTATATAATTTATACGGAAAGAAAATGTAATGGTGCACGCCTGTAATCCGGGGCTTTTGATGGGGGGGATTGAGGGATTGCATCTCATCATGGCAGTCAACCCTGCTGGCCTACAAGGTGGTCAGGAGATAGCAAGACAGCAAGAAGGTTGTACGTTTGGTTTTCTGTGGTTACTCAGGCTTCCTCCGTCATATACCAATATTTAACGAGATGAAATAACAATATTAAATATCATAGAACAATATTTAATGAGATGTTGGTCGAACATCTTCAGCAGGATCCCTCTTGTAAAAGTACGGATACAGTGCGAGGCTTTCACGGGTAATTAACTAATATGTTATTTGTCTGTTGTCTTCCAATCATTTAATGCATAGGTTGTGAGTTTAAAAACATGTTGGTGGCTGACTCGCCACATGAACCCTCTAAACGAGTATCAATTTGTAGGAAGTCAACAGTAGTTTTAAGCTATTGGAGGGAAAACAAAGCACAACAATGCTAATGTCACCATATCACATTGGTTCCCATAATCCAAGCCCCCCCCCGCACTGGCATAATCGAAAATCCATTCCAGTATGTACCAGGGGGGATACGTGACAATTAGAGATGCCAAGGAAAGTAACTGCAGCTTTAAAAGAAAGAAAGAAAGAAACACGCAATGAGTGCCCTGCTGCACCTCCCCAGAACCGTGTATACGAGCGCTCACACCCACACACCCACACACCCACACACCCACACACCCATACACCCACACACCCACACACCCACACACCCACACACCCACACACCCACACACCCACACACCCACACACCCACACACCCACACACCCACACACCCACACACCCACACACCCACACACCCACACACCCACACACCCACACACCCACACACCCACACACCCACACACCCACACACCCACACACCCACACACCCACACACCCACACACCCACACACCCACACACCCACACCTCCCCCTCTGCTCAGGCTCGGACCGTGTGATCACGCTCAAGATGGAGATCCCGGGCTCCATGCCACCGCTCATCCAGGAGATGCTGGAGAATCCCGACGGGCCAGACGGAGGAGGCTGCACGACCCCGCCGCCGCAGAGCGCACCCGCGGCCGGAAGCAAGGCCCCCGTGCCAGAGCCCTCCGCGGGCGAGACCGGCGGGGCCGGAGCTTCCGGGGTGGGGGACATGAAGTGCACCAGAGCAAAGGGGGGCAGTGAGGACTGCGGGGCCAGCAGCTCGACCGCCGCCGCTGCCGTGACAGCAGCAGCAGCAGCAGCAGCAGCGCGTGACCTGGCGCCTCCGTCGAGGAAGGGCCCTCTTGCAAGGTGTTCAACTGGGCCTCAGCCGCCTCAGCCGCCTCAGCCGCCGCCTGTCAAGAAGTGACCCCCCGCAATCCTGCCGACTTGCAGATGCACTAAAAAGATTGTTTATTTTCGTCCCTTATATATATAAAAACAAAAACAATAAAGGCCTACTCTGAAACGAAGCCGTATATTTTTTAATTCTTCACAGCAAAAATGCGGGAAGTGATGGCGCTTGTCGATGAGATTTGACGGTCGTGTAATTTTTTTTCAACACAAGGAAAACCTGCAAATGAAGATGGGTCGTAACGACTGTTCAAGTCGGACAGTTGTTAATGCTGAAGGACCTGTATATTTATGTGTTCAGATGGTCAAACCTGCCGATGATTCCTCCAAGACTATGATGTGGTTCTGAACGTAGCGCACTAATGGGGAATCAAAATGATTGCAGCTCGGACTTGGAAGGCTCGCCTGCTTCAGCGGAATCTAGTTATTGGACCGCTCTTATTGTAACCTTTTGAGGAATATAGCTGTTCAACAATGGAACATCTGTACTTTTCAACAACAGGACGTAAAGGCTTTGTCTTTTCTGTGGACGTGATCACCGAGAAACTTCTTAGCGCATGGAGGTGATACTCCACCAGCTTGCTCGCCACTCAAAATCCAAGCAACATCATCAAACGTCTCCAATTTATATTGGGCGTTTTTATTTGGATTGCAAACGCGAATTGAATATTGTTGAGAAATTAACATTTTTAAGAGGCTAATTTTTATACAAAACCTGATTATTTTCTTTGCCACATTGCAAATTCTCACTTTTGGCTCTCGATGTTAAAGCACACCAGGTTACACAGCCCTAGCTTCAGCACGCTATGAGGGTTATATGACTGTCGGTTGACATCCATGCATCAGCAGCTCTTAAATGATATTAAACTGACAATAGCGGAGAATAACGAATGACAGCAACATCATTAGACAGTCACGTAACTCCACGGTGGAGCCAATGCATTAAGTAGGCTGTACCAGTGGATGACATGAACTTGAGAGCGACCTTATTTTGTCCTAATTTTTTACCCTTTCAAATGTCATGTTTGAAACCATTCGTGTGCTATGGAATAAAATCATGCAATGTGTTTTTTTTTTAATCGGAGCTCGTAACTGTTGCTCATATAGACAGTGCCGTGCCTCATCACACAGTACGCTGTTGCTGTGATGCATCTATTGTATTGCCTTATACATATATAGCATCCTATAATGTACTGTATGTTATTTTAGTGCAGTACAAGGCTAAGTGACTTCTATTTTGTATGCATTTTGCGGTTATCTTTCAGTGGTGGGGGGGTTGACGTAGGGTACGTGTACTTGATGGCAGTGGATGGTGGTGCAGTTCAGCCTTGTAAATGAGCACAGTTCGTTCCAACCAGAGCAGCGTAAAAGTAAATGGTTTGGAATTGCAGTTTCCAGTTAAAATGAGGTCAAATGACACAATTTTGTACAAATTGAATAACAGTATTTATCCGTCTCATTCACGATGGACCTATCTTTTCTCTGAATGTCATCCAGATTGCTCTATTCAGTTCTCCAATATACAGTTTACACAGACAAGATCAAGTCAAACACATTTTAAATGTATAGTTAAACAATTGCAATGAAGTCGGTCATCCATTCAAATAAAGTACTGCACTTTAATTGTGACTAGTCACCCTTGCAGCGCCACTATTGTGTCAGGCAGCAGACCTTTCGATCACTCATCATGTGACAGTTATGAATATATTTCTCTGTTATATATTTTTTAAAGCAATGTTTTTCATGTTATGCCTTTTTCTGTTACTGTGATTGGGGCTTGGGCTTTACCTGATCACGTGAGACACACGGAGTACTGTAATTCTTTGTGTGGCACCAAAACAGTCGGATAATACGAAGCTTTTGCATCAATCGGGCGCGGCGAGCAAAGAATTGGAGCCAAATATGTAGTACTCTGGGGTTGCTGCCTACATAGCCACTGCGGTCAAGTGGAGCAGCACCATCATGTAAGCTTTGCCTGTTGTGATGCCGCATACAGCACGCTTATGTGAGACAATCCAGCGGAACGCTTTTGTTGGGAGGGGGGGGGGAAGTGAATGTGCCAAATGTGGAAACGTGGAGACCCTCAACTTTGCTGAATGAGATTATAATGGGTCATTCAGATGTTCTTAAACAAAATTATCTTTAAAAAAATGTTTTTAAAAAAATAACTTTTAAGTTGGAATTACCCTGTAGGTTATGTTAATAAAATGCTTTCAACACAAAACTAAATTTTTACGCATTTTGTTTGCATTGTTTTGGAACCATTTACATGTCTTTTCAGTGATATGTCACATACAGTAGCGTGGGTCCATAATAAACGTTTTTGAGGTTAGATCGCGTTATTTATAAGTGTCGTAACCCTCCACTACCCGACACGGCCAAACAGTAAAAAATGTGTCACGTTTACAAAATACAAATAGTTCACTACTTTAGCCCACCGATGTGTTGAAGATTCAACATCCTCTACAATTTTTGAGTACGACGTTTCGCTGGTAATTACATGATGATGCTGGATGTAATTAGCGAAACGTCGTACTCAAAAATTGTAGCGGATAATAATAGGGGTTTTCCCCTTTTTTCTGGCAACAAAACTGAAATCAAATTTTGATTTAATTTTGATTTAAAGAATATGAAACTGAAACCTTTTTACGAGGATTCATGTCTGCATTAACCACAATACCTGCAGTCAAAATGCAAACAAAAACATACTATGATAATATATGCATTGTCCTTGAAACTAATTGGTCCACACCAAACAAAGAAAGCCGTCCCTTGGTGTGGACCAATCAGTTTCAAGGACAATGCATATATTATCCAGTGTTTTTTGTTTGCATTTTGACTGCAGGTATTGTGGTTAATGCAGTAACATTAATCCTTCTAGCCTAACAGCCTAAACTGCGACAGAGCTAAAAAGCAACGTTCTGTCCTTGATAGTTTGTAGCAATAAAATGTAGTATTATAATAACGCACATATAAATGGCAACTTGACCAAGTAACATTGCTACTCCTAATTTACTCAGAAACCGGCATCAACATTTCACGCAGCAAGGTGTTAATAATATTTAACTACAACAATTATTGATGCCCATGTCTTTGCAGGCCGGAGCAGAGGCGCAAAGTGAACACATCTCACTCATACTCTTTGGTTCTTTCGGTAAAGTCACGTAGAATGAGAATAAAATAATAAATTAATAAAGTAACAAAATTATCACGACGTTTCGGCCACAACGCAAGCGGCCTTCTTGTGTCGTGGCCGAAACGTCGTGAGAATTTTATTGTGTTATTTTAGTTTATTAATTTATTATTTTATTCTCATTCTACGTGACTTTACCGAAAGAACCAAAGAAGATGAATTCTTAAATTGAAATTTAACATTAATCCTTGTAAAAAGGTTTCAGTTTTGTTGCCAGAAAAAAGGGGAAAAGCCCTATTATTATATTTAGGTACTGGCAAAGGAGGTCTGTTTGGCCGTGTCGGGTGGTGGAGGATTACGGCACATTTATAAATAACGCGATCTAACCCAACAACGTTTATTATGAATAATATTGGTCGCGAAAGCCTACGTGTTAAAGTAGCGTGGGTGTTTGTGTCCGTAGCAGCTATTCATTTGGCAGGACGTGTATAATAAAACCCCATTGAGCCACACGAAGTGGGAGGGGAGAGCCGTTTTGTTCTCCCTTGACCGAATCCCATATTTCTTATGTATTTAAATGTTTCACACACATACCCTGAACAAATTTGAAAAGATTCCGCCTCTCCCCCCCCAATATAGACTTAACAGACTGTTTGGGACAAGTGCTGTTCGCGAGCACCTATGAAGGCTGGCACGGCACACGAGAGGAGATGGGTGGCCAGCAACCACGCCCGGCCGCCTGATGCGTACACCACAACACACCAGCTACTCATTTAAGGCTGAGTCAACCTAGCGGAGGCCCAGGACCGGCTCAAAAAATTGCCACCAGTTATAGGTCGTGAGAGCAAATCGAACGAGGGTCGCCGGGTTTGTAGCGCGGTGCGCTTACCACAACATTTGGAAGCAACGTCAAATTGTACAGACTGGCTTTGTCGGGCATAGGCGATGCCCCACCATCAATAACCCACGGCATGCGGGTTGTGAACGGGCATGCCTCGCCAAACTAGGCTGTGCCCCCAGGGGGCTACAGGGAGCTGCTGGGACACAGGACGTCCTTCATTGGGGCCACGGCAGTGGATCTGAGTGAGGGCGGTGTTCCTCTGCAACTCTTTACTGATTTGCAAAGAGCTGCAGAGGCGCGCTGGGGCGGGGAGAGCCAGTACAGCGGGGGCTGTAGTATATGTTATCAAGGGGTCCTAAAAATATATATTAAATTACAAAATGTTAACGTGCATAGTAATTGTATTTTTTCATTTGCTATACAGCCAGATAACACGACGAATCGCTCACCTTAAACACCCAGTCGTTCGTTAAAGTTGAAGGTGGTATAGTACTATAGTAATAGAGCAAGTGCAGAAATCACTGAGCCGGAATTGATAGCTTGAAAGCGTTTAGCGCGGGGCCCTTGAAAGTGCGTGGCCCGTAGCTGCTACATATGTAGAAGCTACTTTTGCTACGAGAAGAATCCGGCACTGGGAGAAGGGAGGTGGGGGGAGCAGTGACAGTGATGAGCAGCAGCAGCAGCAGGCTGCTGCTCATCACTGTCACTGCAGCAGGTTGAGACCAGAGCTGTTTGCACGCGAACGCGATGGCGATCTCGGCTCGTTGCGGGTGAGAGATATCGTGGTGGTGCTCTTCGCTCCGCGAGGTCGTGCATAACATCTCCCTCCCCAGCGTGCGGTTGAGATAGCGTCACTGCAACTATGTCAACGTGTTTCGGAATGACTGAATGTACAGCGCCTTTTCTCACGACGGTTATTGATAAGGGCCACCCCTCGTGCCGTGCTGGTCGCGAGTATTATTGGACCATACTGCACCACGCAGGTCAGTGCGAGTTGGTGAAGATGAGAGCCATACGAGAGCACAGAAGTATTGTACAATAATGTATTATTTTGCTGCATTGCCTTCTCGCCCTATATATTGTGCATGGCAGTATATAATTGCCCCATTGTGAATGTAACTCTGATCCGTGCTGCCTGCTAACAACAGCCAAAAAGGCATGCGAATAATACGTATCCCAAAAAAAGAGTATCCTGAGCAGTCTTCTGATGGTATCTGTGCGGTGTTATCGCATGCGGGTCTTGGGAGACGTAGCCCCTTGACTGCGTTGCCCAATTGCCTCGTGGGTCGGACCGCAAGCCCCTCCAGCCTTCTTCACCCAGTTTTGGCTCACGTAACGAATGGCTCACGGCAAGGTGGCGCGGTGGGAGAAGGCAGGTGGGTGCTGTTAAACTGGTTCGAACATGTCAGCCCCCCCCCTCCCCCCCGTGAAATGATAGGTCGCACATTTGGAATGGGCCATATTCATTCCGAGACAAGCGGTTGTTCTAAGCCTTCATTAATTGCCTAAAGTCTGTATAACCCGATGAAGTTTGAATCAATTGTTCTCCAAAGCTAACAGATTTGGATAATGCTTCTTTGCTGGAAACTTATAACAAGGCTACGAAATTGATTAAATACATGTTTTTGCACCTTCTTTAAGTGTGGCGATGACATTTTTATATTGATTAATCGAAGTTACTGGAATGTTGATTGGTGGAAAGTATAAATGTGCCCCAATAACTCTGGAGGTGTTAATCTCTCCAAAATAGCCTAACAGCCTAAACACTGCGATCAGAGCTAAAAAGCAACGTTCTGTCCTTGATAGTTTGTAGCCATAAAATGCAGTATTACAATAACGCACATATAAATGGCAACTTGACCAAGTAACATTGCTATTCCTAATTTACTCAGAAGCCGGCATCAACGTTCCACGCAGCAAGGTGTTAATACTGGTAGGAACGAAGTTGTAAACTGAGTGTACAAGCCTGCAATAGATTAATGTGTCCGTCCGTCCGTCCCCTTTCAATACTTGAAGTGAAATCTCGTGCTGTTGGGTGTAAAATCAGCAATAGACAGCGCAGAGACTTGTCCTACCAGCCCACCCTGCAGGGACCTGTTATTTAACTACAACAATTATTGATGCCCATGTCTTTGCAGGCCGGAGCAGTGTTGCAAAGTGAACACATCTCACTCATACTCTTTGGTTCTTTCGGTAAAGTCACCGTTAGGTAGAAAAAACAATAGATCACGATCACAACACAGAAAAAAAAACGACTACTTCAGCAATTTTTTTTTTTATCCTGCAAGGGGTTTGTCCAACTTGATGGCGATTGCTTGTGTTGCGATCGAAACGTCGTGATCTACAATTATTTTACCGAAAGAACCAAAGAGTATGGATTCCTGCAGTCACGAAAGCTTCAAATCAAGATATCTCACTCAATAGGATGACAATGTTCATTCGGAAGGAAGTCAACGGCGTTGAGGGTTTTTTTTTTCACAAGCTGTGGGTGAAGCCCAGGAGAGTGCGTTTGACAACACAAGTCAGGAGTTTGTCCCGAGCTGAGACGACACCAACCTTGTGAGTTTATAAACTGCGCATTGCCGACCGAATGTACACAGGGAATCTCTAAGCAAAGTAATATGGATGGAGATATATATAGAGGGCGTTTCATGGTGATGGATAATGACGGTCGTGGCCGCGATGGTGATTGGTAATGAGATAGTTAATGGTTTGTGGCGGTATTTTTAATTATTGCGTTTGTTCACTCGGGGAAACCCGACGTCTCGCAACTCCTTTTCAGGAGGATCCTGTTCCAAGTTTTCGCAGTAGGGGGCGATGATTACAACGGAGCCATTTGTAGGCGATTCAACCGTCGCAAATTTGTGGACAAATCGATGTGGCTTCTGATGTACATTTTTCCACGTCATAAGCCACTTCGTTGAACTCTCATTTGTGGCCAGGTCGCTTCTAAAAATAAGCTATACAGCTCCGTGGGCCTTACCTTATGAAAAATCAAAAGTTTAGTTTTTGTTTAAACGAAGCAGAAAGTGCGCATTTATGTTTGGTCAACACGACATTGACCAGGGCGGCCACTGGAATCGAACCGTGAAACGCTCTACCGCTCGTTCTTGTCCACTGCCCAAGTGCTGTTGGCGGTGCAGTGATGGCGATCACAAACCTATCACAGTTGGTCCACGACTTGGTGCAAGGGGCATAATAAACATCTACAGTAATTGTAACCCTATTTACCACTATACTACGTACGGATTTCAT